ATTTTTTCCTTTTTTTTTTTTTTTTTTTTTTGGGGGGGGGGGGACGCAGGGTAACAATCAGACATCACGTACATGGTATCTTTTGGCTGATGCCCTAGCTAGAGATTTTTTTTTACTTTTCCTGGGCCTACCAAACCAAATCTTGAAAGATATGTTAGCACATAGGTACTACGTAGAACACTTGATACGATTTTTAAATGATGATTTCAACAGTTTGTACTGGACAAATATTCAAGAATGGTTTTAGTTCTTTTTTGCGTCCTATGATTTCGTTTTTTGGGCTTAATGTAGCAATTGAAGGAGGAAGCAAGCCACATGATCACAAAGATTGAGCTCCTAGAGTTTCACAAGCGGTATAATGCTCTAACCTTTCTTTCTTTCTTTTTTGTTTCCACCATCTTATAGATTTAACTTTAAACTTAAACACCAAATAAAAACAGAAGGAAATCAAATAATTCGTTTGTGTTTATATATAATTTACAAAAGTATAATTAGCATGGATTTTCTTAGAGTCTAAGTTCTTATAAATACTCATCATACTACGCAAGTTACAATCTGCAGTGGAGGAAAATGGATCCAAGAAAAGCTATATGTGATATCATATAAAATAACTCGTATGGAGTGTTACAATATTTTGCAGTCAGCAACTCTCTTTTGCGTGTGTATAGGAAGCTATTGGGTCAAGAACTTGCTTCTTGTTCTCTACAAGAACTTCAAGAAATTGATAGCCAACTCCAAAGAAGTCTGGGTGAGGTTCGAGCAAGAAAGGTATATACTTCATCTATCTTGGTATGTAAGATGATGCTATCTTGCAAATATATTTACTTACTATAACTGAGATTAATATATTCCTATCTCAACCATCTAGCTAGTTATTGTCTTCATCTAGATACAAACTTGAGCACGGATATTTGCAGTGATTTGGCGATATATATCAACAAATTTACTAACATAGATCCAGTAGGCATATGTGTAATTTCTGTATTAGTGTTTTGATTATGGAAATGAAAATAGTTGGAATGTTTTATAGGCTCAGATGTTCAAGGAACAGTTGGAGAAGCTAAAAGCAAAGGTACAGCACTATTTACTGTGTATTTATGTAGTTTTGTTATTAGCAATATATACATATGGTGATATAATGTGGATTCGTTTCAGGAGAAACAATTGTTAGAGGAGAATATTCAGCTACATCAAAAGGTAATTCATCTCTTTTTCCCTCGACTTATATATATTTATACATACTGTACACTGATCCACCTTAAATTTACATAAATTATGAATTAAGATGCTGAAAATATAATCTAAAGACCTCTATTTTTGGGGGATTGTAAATCTATAGATAATGCTAGTTCCATCTTCCTTTTCCTAGAGAGAAATGCTTAGAATATGAGCTTTGTTTAATTGATGAAATTGTCATCTATGTTATCAACAGACTGTTATAGATCCATGGAGAGGAACGATGGACCAACAAAAGAAATTCAGAGTTATAGACCTGAATTTGTAAGTAGAAACTGGTCTATTCATTGGCTTGCCAGAAGAATATCGGAAATACCATTTAATATATATATTGTATGTTTATTTATTTTTCATCCAATCCTTGAAATTCTTCAGTAAATTGTGAGGAATGGTTGTGATATTATCTTATGATTGTAGTCCTTACACAATTAATAAGAGAATAATAGCTATAGTCAAACGTCTTACTTGAAAACATAGTTAGTTAAACCATGCCTCCCTGACTTATATTAGGATGGATTAATGGGACTTAAGATTGTTTGAAAAGTAGATAGATTTATTAAATTTTTATATGAAACTTAACGAACTAAATGAATTTCATGATATGATACCCTATAAAACAAAACATTAATCTATATTAAATGGAAGAAATCGAGTAGTTTTAATCTACATCAAACTAAATGATTGTGTTTGATGTTCTAGTAGTTGTGTTTGATTAAAGGTGTGCTTCCACATGGCAGGTTATACTGAGTTTTAACATACCAGATTTTTAATCAACGGGTTCAACTTGGGCAGGCCCAATATTATCAGCTACTTCGAATTTATAGGAAAATTTGGAAAATAAATATGAAAGAATGAAAATGTTTTAAAATTTAGCCCAGCATAAGGTTAATCTCAAATTAAACTATGTTATGTAACCTATTAAATATATATCTCAAATAATTTCAAAGATTTACCAACAGAGCATTTAACCCCACAAACTGGGCAATCAATTAATATTTGCAAGAGTGATGCAAAGAGGTAAAAACTATTTTGTATGAACATCATTTAATAGATTTTGGTCAACCCTATCAACATCTATGTTTATCCAAAGATTTATGATTTACCCATAGGTTTAGGGTTTAGCATTAGAGTTTAGAGTTTACTGTTAAAATATTAAAAAAAAATATATTTTCAATTTTATTAATTATTATTTTTTATTATTTATTTTTATATTTTATTTTTAAAAACATAATATAACTTAACAAGATTTTGTTTCATTTTTCTAAAAGATATTAAATATGAAATAATACAATCCTATTGAATGGTAATAATAATTTTTTTTTTTAAACGTTAGAGACTCACCAGAACACTCTAGTGAGGGTGCTCTTAATTCAAATATCACCATAGTTCCCTTGATTGTGATCTCAATGTTATCAAAAGTTATATAAAACTATTTTTATTTTCAAATTTTCGCTACAAAGAAATAGCCAAAGGCATATAACCAAAATTATTCAAAACACTCGTGAATACTTACTATTCTTTAGTCTACCATACCATATGCAAAATGTTGGAATACATGGGGGACAAAAACATCTGAAATCGACATACCTATATACCAAGACCCATACCGTTCCACACCACACTACATTTCAAAAAACCTTATTTTATTTTATTTTTAGTTATTATTCATTTAAATGGCTACAAAATTATTTGGAAGTTAATATAAAATAGAAATCTATACAAAGAAAAGTCAATCAAAGTCCGCCATGTGGAATACGGACGAGTCGCGGTGGGGACCCCACATTTGAAGTGTGTCTCGTCACGTGAACTCCCCACGTGCCACTGACATCATCGCTTCTCTTAAAACGACGCCGTTTTATTCCACGTGTCTAAACAATCCGTCGTCGTTTCAGCCACGAGGGCTTCGAAGATTCCTCTCTCGAGCTCCGTCACGATTCCTTCAAACGCCAACTCCGACTGTGTTTCCGTCTCCGGTAAACCTCCGGCCACAAGAACATCGACACCTTCGAGAACCAAAGTGCGTTTAGTGACTTGTGCAATGTGCGTTTGCGATTGTCTCTGAAACGCAGTGAACTCTGTTGTTGATGCTCTGTTTCTTGATGACTGCGTTACTCTGAGCTTTAATGAATCTCTGTTCTTAATGTTATTACTTGTTGCGGGTGAACAAACATACGTCTCCTCCTGCATTGTCTGTGGTGGCTTCACTAATCTCGATTTAAAGCTCTCAGCTTTCTTGCATTTCGTGTCAGAGTTGCTCTCTTTTTTGACTTGCTCTGTTCTCTCTGGCTCTTCTTTCACTTTTTGTAATCTCTTCTTGTCTTGAACCTTCACTGTCTTCTCTAGAACCTTGGGAGGGACGTTATTTCTCTGAAGTGATGACTTTGGTTTCGTTCTTGGCTCCTGAACTGGTTGTTCTTTGTTTGTAATATCAGTTCCCATTCTTCTTCTTCTTCTCCGGCTAACGTTCTCTTTCAACTGCATCACTATCTGTCTAGCGTAATCTCTAGGACTCCTATTCTCTTTATCCTCCACGTGTATCTTCATCTCTCTGAGATGAAGTGAGGAACGTTGGTGGTTGTAAGAGTTAACGTCGAGAGATCTTCTTCCGAGTGAGATCCTCGGCGTCTCTGGAAGAGATCGTGTTCCTCCGTCGAGAGAGTTTCTTTGGAGAGAGTGATGTCTGTGTTTGGTGGTGTGAGAAGAAGAAGAAGATGGTGTAGGAGATGATGATATGTAGTTGTCTGGAACAAGATCAAGACCCATGAGCCTAGCGACTAAAGTTGGTGTCTTTACACTTGGAGAGTAAGATTCAGTGGCTGCAAGAGACGATGATGATGATGATGTTCTTGCTTGTGGTTTGGTCTTGATTTTAATACCCATCTGCAGTTTATGTGTAAAGGAAGAAAACTTTGAAAAACCCAAGAAGATAACAACCCACACGGATTTTCTCTTCGGAGAATCGACTCGACTTGATTTACAAAAAAAAAAAAAACCAAAGCAGAGTAATTTTTAAAAAAATTTAGTCACTTACAGATATATTGAGGTTTCCATCTTTTCTGGTATGTGAAGATGGAGTACCCTCTTCCTTATCTACACCTGAGTTTGATTTTAAGAGAGAGTCTAAGTAACTTATGTAGTAGAAATTGGTGGAAAGTGGAGAAACGATGGTTTAACCTTTGGGGAGATGAAGATGGTGATGGTTAATGGGAAACTGTAAATGTTGCAAGTCGAAAATGTTGAAGACAACACTCATGCATCCCGCCGCGGTTGCGACGTCACCGGCGGGTGAAGAAGACGGTGGTGGAGCTGCTTTGATGTCTTTCTTTGACTTGCTTGTGGATTTCTTCTTCCTTCCACCAAGCCAAGACCAGTCTCTTCCCATTGTTTCCGGTTGTTTTGGCTATGTGTTGTTGGTATGGTTTGTTGCATGAGGCAGAAGTAGCAATATGGAGTGGGGGAAGTTTGTTTCTATATGAGATAAAGATTATAAAATTACATAGCTGAGAGAAAGTGGATCCATGTAAAACCATATGAATGAATAATTAATATATAGATATCTATTTGTATTCATTTCGATAGGGTTGGTGGCTTTCTTCTTCCCCCTACGTAGACTTATTTAATACGAACAAGTTTGTCAAATGTAAAATCTATTAATATTTTGAAAAAAGATGAAGAAATGGCTCTTTTTAATTAAAATAAGAATAACGTTTTTGGTTAGAAAAGGGCAAATAAGGGGGGACTGCTGGTTTTGGCTTCTCTAGAATATACATACGTTTGGTAGTATGTCGATATCCCACAGTGTAATATAATTTATGTACATTTCGAGCTATTTTCTACAAATATTCTAGAGTTTTTTATAAGAAGATATCGTGGGGGATAAGCAGAAGCTTTGCCTGAATGCAACATCAAATGGGTTTTGGAATATATAAGATAGAGTTAATGTGGTAGTATACTATTCTATTAGAGATTATCTTGCCCCCAACTATTTAAGAAGATATTAATGTTATTATAATTATTTGGTTTGGGAGGAAGGGAGATGCTTCATGCATAATGTTAGTTTATAATTTGAAAGAAAATGTAAACCTTATATGTGTTTTCTGTTGACAACGACAATGACAAAGATTTGAATATTTGCATCATCAGTGTCGAAGTTCGAAAGAAAAAAGTGTTCAATTCTATCTTTCACGACATCTACAATCTCACCATATTTTTCATTTTAAAATAGAATTTAGAATAAAAAGTGTTCAATTCTATCTTTCATTCTATAATATAATAGTTAATAGGATAAATCATTGAAAATGGTCTTAATCGTTCCTATCGTGATGAAGCAACCCTCATTTGCAATAACTTACATACTTTGGAGATCTTATGTTTTCTAATATGTACCATGTTTTCTCCATCTATTTGGTAATTTTTCTTTTATACCTGAGGTTTTAAGATTCAAAGACTAATTCATGTCTTGCATTATGCAATTAATCTACGTAAATGACACATTTAAGTGGCTAATACAAAGCGATTCCAGGGCGGAAGTTCCACTAAAACCCCTTTACCACTAGACAAGATTTGGTTTACATTTGATAAAATATTCTTTCACAAGATATAGATTAATACCTATAAACATAACAATAACAGTGAGAATATTCGAATAATATACCAATGATTCATACTATATTGTATAGTTACATTCTGTGTAAGACTGGCAGTAACTACTTGTATATCTTAAACAATTTGTAATTTAGAAAACCTACTGAAATCTCAAATTACGATAAGATTCGTACACAATATACATGGTGGTGGTGTTACCAAAGAATGAGGGGATCTTCAAACCATGACGTCTTGATCCTCCTTTCAAATTTGATTTCCTAAATTTTTATATGACTTCCTTTCTCACAACCAACAAGTACTATCCAACAACCATTAAACAAGTACGATCTGATTTTCGTAAGATTGTATGTATATAAAGTAAAAGAATTTCAGCTAGCAGTGAAAGTTCAATAACATTTAACCTATTGTAGCGCACATGTCACATATAATTAAAACGATGGCATTATAGACAAAGTAAATTCATAAATGAAGAGACAACTGGACCAAAAGGTCCATAACATGATTATATTTAAGTAACTGTGGCCAATACAAATCACATGGAAAATTTATGGTATGGTCACAATACAATCCAAACTAAAGCTGTCCTTATAATTTAAACAAAACTAAAAACAAAGAAGAGAAAAAGACGATATAAGATGTGTTAGAACAAACAAAACGGAGGAGATAAGAGAACCAATGCGATGGCTTCTGTCTCCAGTCTAGCTCCTCATACTAATTAAGAAAGATCTCAGTTTACATTTCTGGAGTTTTCTTCTAGACAACCACCTTTCAACCTGCTATCACCTATAACTAAAAGTCTAAAAGGGGCCACACACTGACACACACTTTTATATATTATCTATATATATGGACCAGTTTATGATATGGTTTTTGTCAAGACTCCAAGTAGTAATTACACAATTCAAATCTCATCAGTTTATTCGTTTTATTTACTTAAAATCCAAAATAATTTGTTTTAACATTTTTCTAAACTTTTCGGAACACCCATCCTTAATCCTAGAGTTAATTATTAAAATACCGTCTTCATTTAAATTTGCCACTGTTCTCAAACTTAACACCTAATAAATAACATGATTAAGATTCCAATGATCCATCAGTCAATTACTTGTGGTAAATTAAGAACATGTTTATTTGGGGGTTTTTGGCGTTGGGTTCTTAGCGGAATATAAGAATTCGTCTTTTAATTTTTAATTATTTAAAAATCGATTCTTATTTAAAAACCGATTCTTATATTCCGCTAAGAACTCCAAATAAACATGCTCTATCGAATATAAATTTACACAAACTGATCTAGTTAAAAAGATTTTATTTCATAGGCCTCAACTATTGGGCCGTCAACTATTGGGCCTTTAGCAAAGCTTCATTTCATGAAAATTTTAAAACGTTACAGTCCATCGTCGGAAATAAATTTCCCGATGGAAACAAACAAAGGTTTACGCTTAACCGGATCTCCAATCTCCGCCCCATGAACATCACCCTCATTAAACACCTCCACAACTTCCACACCCTTCCTCCTCAACATTTTCGCCACGTGTCTCTGCCTATCCACCATCGGATCCTCCTCCCCTCCAACAACCATCACCTTCCATCTCAACCGTCCAATCTCCTCCAAACCCCCCGATCCCTCCCCCACCGTCGGATTCGAATACTCATGATCCCGATCAACTCCCGCCGGCAAACAAAGCTCCCAGAACACGTCGGAAACACTCGTCGGACAAACCTGATCATCCACAAGCCTAATCTCAGATCCGCACCTCTCCTCCCCTCCGAAGAACGGATGGTGAAGAATCATCCCGCGGATCCGTAACGGACTCAGATCGGTGGCGGCGGATCTGATCCCGACGTTGTACGCCAAGTTCCCGCCGGCGCTAGTTCCCATGAGGTAGACGTTGGAGAGATCGGCGTGAGATCCGATCCAATCGTCCTCCGAGGTTCGGATCCAGGCCATCGCCGCCGCGCCGTCGTCGTACGCCGCCGGGAGACGGTGTTCGGGAGCGAGGCGGTAGGAAGGGGAGGCGACGACGGCGTTGAGGTCGCGCGCCATGGCGGAGCAGAAGTCGTGGAAGACGAGGAGGTCGACGCTGCAGAGGACGAATCCTCCGCCGTGGTAGTAGATTATGAGAGGGAGCTTTGGGGGTGAGACGGTGTCGTTTAGGGTGGAGGAAGGGATGTAGAGACGCATCCACGTGGAGGTTGAGTGGTTAATGGAGATGTCTTTGGATACGACGGCGTTTTGTGGGGAGGGGTTGGGTGTGGCTGGGGTGCATTGGAATTTGGTGAGGTCGCGTGTGATGGTGCCGTCTGGGTTTTTGGTGATGCTGAGATAAGCGTAAGGGTCAGTGATTGGAGTGAGTTCGGACATGTTTTGTGAGACGTTGGATTTTGTCTGAACTTTTTTTTTGCCGACGTTTATGTCTGAACTAATGAACTTCAGTATTGAGGTTATATAATGCTAAATTCGGGTAGAAAAAAATTTCTAATTAGAAAAAAATAGCAACTTGAAGGTAATATTATACTAGTATTAGTAAAGGAAATATATATATATATATATAAATTTGAGAAAAGTGTTTCATCATGAATGCACGTCTAATATTTTACTAGAAATTTTGACAAGAAGCCCTTTTTTTTTGTTAAATGCAAACTAAAAGCATCTCATATGTCTACATTTTTTTTCTAAAATAAAGATCTCTATTAAAAAGATATTTGTTAATATATATTTTTATAATAAAGTTTTTTTTTTATTTATATTTAAAGAAAAAAATATATTGATATGATATTTTTACTTCTATAAAAAAAATCTATTATAGAAGAATGTTTTGTTTTGAAGTAAATCTACTTCTATAATATAAATTCTTTATTTTAACGAAAATAATATAGAAATAAAAATAAAAATGGAGATGAAGAAATAACTCAATTAGCCAATGAAAATATTGTAGTTGATGCGACGCAACTGGAGAAGAAAATGACTCAACCACAATCCACAAAATAATGACAGTGCATTTGGAGAAAACGTAATCTTTTGTTTTCTCTTTAGTGCATTAAACCAGAGGTCTTTCTTAAGTCACAATTCTTGTTAAAACATCTTTTTCATTAAGATAGTAGCTTATAATATAATCAAGAAGCTTAGATTAACGCATATACTATATACATTAGTTGTGTTTCCAAACTCAACACACACCCTCCGTTGACGCGCATGACACAAAAACTATAGCTTTAAGAAAAATAATACCATATATTTGAGTAATTGTATCATCATTATCATCATCAAAATTACACAAAACTGAAAGGGAAACACGAGAGCTCCCCTCTTAAGTTGTTCATAGAAAGATAAAATAAAAAAACACACAAACACTATTATAAAAGTAGAAATTTCTAGAGGAAGATGAAAATATTAGAGTTTTTGATTAGGTGTTTGTGTTAATAGTTTTTCACCATCTCTGGCCTCCACCACCACGACTCCCACCACGACCAAATCTCCCTCCTCTGCCACGATTAAACCCTTGGTTACTACCTTGGCGCCCAAATCTTCTCTGCATTGGTTCTCTCTCTTGAAGTTTAGGCAATTCCTTAACAACCTCCATGCTCACACTTCCATTCCTTTGTCCAGCTGAAATGAACTGGTCTACATCTGATTGTGCAACATCGAAAACTGCACCTTGTCCATCTGCTGTTAGAGTTAATCCTTCAATCGAATTAGCCTTGTCTTCTGGTAAGATCCTCTTCAACACACCAAATACAAATCTGCAGAAAAACCACAATCATTCTTTTAGTATTTTCTTATAAATGTTTAGCAAAGACTACACAAGTAGAAGAGTGAGGAGCTTACGATGGAGTGTAAATGGGTTTCCCTGCTTCAAGAAGTAGTGTGACATGATTCTCCATTGATGTTAGAAGTGACCTTTTCTTAATCTCAGTGAAACCCTACAAAAATATAATAACATTCAATACTCTTTAGTACTTTGCATTTATGATTTAAAAGATACTTTGTAATGAGACTAACCGCGGTTTTGGCAAGAGCTTTTGCAAGGAGTACTTCTGCTGATACACCGGAGCTTTCTAATAGTTCTTTAGCAGCAGCCATGAACGCAGGAACCACACTGTCACAGACTTGTGTGATTTTCTCAGCAGCTTCCATACCAACAACTCTGGCAATATCATTAGGCTGTGGTGCAGAAACGTGCTCAAATTTGATACCAGCTTGTTTTTCAATCCTAGACACACCAGACTTTCTAGGATCGTATAGCATAACCGCAACTCCAGTGTTCCCAGCTCTTCCTGTTCGGCCAGAACGATGAATATAATCTTCAACATCACGTGGAGGCTCACACTACAACAGAACAACAATATGTCAGAAAACTATCATAGCACTAAACAAGGATGATTAATGCTTGGGAGCTGCCACTGACCTGGATAATTAGCTGCACGTCATTGATATCTAGACCACGAGCAGCAACGTTTGTAGCAACCAATGTAGAGAACTTTCCCTTTCTAAATCCAGCAAGAGTAACCTACAATCACATGACTTAATAGTTAGCAAGCTGATGCTGCTTTGCTTTGCTTTGCCAAGTTTAAAACGAAATATAATTAACCTACCTCACGGGTTGCTTGTTGAATGTCACCATGCAAAGCTCTTGCTCCAGGCAACAAACCAGAAAGCTCAGAAGCTTGGTCTTTAGTCTCAGTGAAAACGATGGTACTACCTCCACTGAATATTGTGAAATAAAAGTATTAAGTGACTACACGATTAAAATACCGGAGAAATGATTATGGAAGTACAAAACGTTACCTGCTGTATAAGCTGATAATATCAGGAATCAACCGAGACATGGCCTGCTTGTTACAGGGAAGAGCAATGTGTCTAACACTATTACTAGCCTTCATTTTATCATTACCAACAAGATCAATAGTTTTCTTGTCTTTTTTAAGAAACCTAGCAGCGATCTGATAGTAGTAGCAAGAAAGGTATTAGGCATAAATTAACAAAAAAAAGTAGTACTCATTATAAAGAGTAAGAACGAAAAGGGACGCACGTTTTGAACCCATGATGGTAAGGTAGCACTGAAGAGAAGCGTCTGAACTTTCTTAGGATCCTCCACTTTACCTAAGATAAGTTCAACATCATCAACGAAACCCATTCTCAACATCTCATCAGCTTCATCAAGAACACGGAATTGTAGATAAGTCAAGTCAAGGTTTCCTCTTTCAATATGATCCTAAACCAATGAATAAAACAACACAAATGTCAAGAGAGAACACAAACAAACAAACGAAAAAACAATTATTTGATTTAAAGAAAAAGAGCAAACCTTGATACGACCAGGTGTTCCAACTACAATGTCAACACCTCTCTTTAGTTTAGTCTGCTGAGGTGGGTATGGATCACCTCCATAGACACAACAAGAAGCTAAACCAACAGATCCTCCGTATGCTTCAAAGTCAGCATACACCTTTAAAGTAACACCATTTACCATCAATAAAACTAATTTTCTTCAAAATATTGCAATGTTTTAAGAAATTGCTAGGAGGTAACTACACATATCAATGAATTACAAAATTATTTGATGAATTTTTAAAATTAGGCATACAAAAAAAAATCAGACAAACTTGTGGACTTACACTAAAAAATGCTTTAGTTGATTGAACACATTTACACCAATTTAGACCAAATTAGACTAATTTTAAACTGTTCTAGGATGGCTTGAACTGATTTAAAATTGCTTAAATCAGATTTTAAGAAAACTGTTTAGTGTATAACCAATTTTTAGAACATTGACACTTTACAGTTTGTAATAACATCTCAAAAATCCTTACTACACTTTATAGTTTGTAATAACATCTCTAAAAAATCCTTACTTGCTTGGCCAATTCTCTGGTTGGTAAAAGAACCAAAACACTTGGTGGCCTGCCGTAACCATTCTTCCTCTTACTCTTCGCAGGCCCATTGATCAATGACTCCAATATAGGCAACACAAAGGCCAATGTCTTACCCTGCACCACACCACACACGATCAGAAAAAAGCCTCAAACTTGAGGTTAATTTCACTAATAATTATCTAAAGCATTAAACTTTCAGACCCAAACTTGACAAATACCTGACCAGTACGAGCCCTTCCGACCAAATCAGCACCATCAAGAACCATATCAAAAGTGGAAGCTTGAATAGGAAAAAGAGCTTCAATACCCTTCTCCTTAAGCTTGGCCTTCAAGGGATCAGAGATACGAAACTTGGAGACGGCGTTAGGGTTATCTACTTTAACATCTTCTTCTTCTTCAACAACACTACTCAGCTTCACCTTCTTGCTGCTCTTACTCTTCTTCTCGGACCCTTCCTCTGTTTCATCATCAGCCTTACGCTTCTTCTTACTCTTCTTCTTATCAGACTCTTCTGCATCAGAATCAGAGAGCTTCAGCTTCTTCTCTTTCTTCTTCTTTGAGTCCTGATGCTCTGGTGTCGTGGCTTCCAAGTCTATCTTCTTCTTCATCTTCTTGTCTGATAAAGTTAAGGAAGGCATTGGGGTTGGAATCTCTCCTGCTTCTGTGAGGCGGTGAGGGCTGAGAGAAGCAGGGAGAGGTAGAGAGAGAGGAGGAGACAAGTGTAGGGTTTAGGGTGGTTCTTTATATAAGTTTCTCGAGATATTTTTTAAAGGCGCCGTTAGATTAAAAACCTAAATGGAACTCAACTGTAATCTTGTCCGTTCAGTTTAGGTCTAGTGACTTGCTGTTTTCTTATTGGGTTGGGAGAATGCATGTCGGCCTTAGATTTGTTTGTAGGTGTACAAATACTTAAAACAAAATAATCAATTTTACTTTTCTAATAAAATGGTAAAAATGTTTTTGATGACCTAATAAATTGAGGCATTTCTGTTTAGATTCAGATTCGGTTTGCTTTGGTTTGTTTGGTTCTTATTTTTTAAAAATTAAAATCAACTAAAATTAATTTGGTTTGGTTTTGTGCTTGATTCAATTAATTTAGTTTGGTTTGGTTTAATTTGTGTTCAATTCGATTCAATCGAATTAGTTTTTAGTTTTTTTTTTAGTTTGGTTAAGTATATAATTAATAAACATAAAATAAATTTATACTTTAGTCACTAAATCATATATTTTCATATTTAAACCTAGATACAAACATCACAATAAAATATAGAAGATGTATTTTATATTTTTACTTTGGTTTGGTTTAAACTTGGTTGGCTTCGTTTGATGAGTTTTTTTTGCTCACCCCTTGTTATGTGTTTAAGAAACCAAAAGCTTTAAAAATTACAGATGAATAGGGAGAGATTAAAGAATGTGTTTCAAAAAAGTAATAGAGATAAAAAAAAATCATGTCATGAGTTTGTCTTTTTCAAAAAAAAAAGTTAATGAGTTTGTTAAAGTCTTTAGTCTTCTGAGTTAATGGCTTACATATCCCCACAACAACAACAAAAAATCAATAAATATCAAGCATACACGTTTCTATATATATAGACATAGGAATGCGTGTGTGTATAAATCAACATGATAACCATCCTCAAGGTGAAGATTAAGCAATGATTAGGCCCCCTGCAACTTTCTGTGATTCGAAATTCCGGGATAAATCCAGCCCCCTGTTTTACACAATATATCATCAATGGTGTCTGATACCTCTTATGGCATGTTGTTGTTTGAACTATTGGAGCTTTGACGAGATTAATATTAAGATTGCATTTTTAGTTACCTGTTAATATCTATCCGGCAAGAGCTTTGAGTTTTATATTTGATGCTAGTTACTTCACCGAGTTCTTTTTTACTTGATCTCTGTCAAGAAAAGGAAGAGTATTGACAATGTTTAATATTGTATACAGTGGGACTTTTTATGAATTTTAGAAGGAGTTTGAGTTTATTACCTTTGAGTTTAGAGTGCGAATATTAGATTCATACACTTCACAGTGTATCTTTCTACTGTGTTTTTCTTTGACTATCCTAGCTTTTGAGGAATCAATTGGTTTTAACCTGCAGAGAACGTTTTTGGGAGAGTCAGACTCTACCAGCTAAACTAGTCTAGGCTACACAAGAAAGGTAGATTCATGTAGTTTTTGAAGCTATATACACTAACGTTTTGAATTTAGTAGCTTCGTTTTCTTGTATGCCATCAACCTTAGCCTGCATGCAATGTGAGCGATCATATAAGTACTTTTGTGAACATAAAGGCCAAAGAGGTTAGAAATTAGCAAAAAGAAAATTTGAAAGATGGATTTATATGTTGGATGTGAGACTTACATTTGAAGAGCGTTCCTTTGCTCTCAGTGATGTTCTTAAACCAAATGCCTGATGTAGAAAATTCTGTTAACACATGTAGATGTGGTAAGATTAGTTATACGGCTATACCTTAAGATCTTGAGACCGTAGAGTATTACTTTTAGGCAAAGATGGTTCAAAATTAATCTGCAAAAGAACCCAAATCATTATTTAGTTTAGTTTTGTAATTACAGCTTTATAGAATGTAGTAATGTAGAAACTAATATTGAAAGAAACATAAAGAGAATAATCTACATTTTTGTTTGTAGTGTTTCTCTTAGATGAATTAATCCTTGATTTAGCATTCTGCTCTGAGTTTACCTTAGACCTGAAACATCAAAACATGTTATAAGGAAGCCATAAACGGTCTTCTTGACAAAACATACATTCTTGAGTACCTATGTCTTTCAGATCTTTCTGCAGTTCTAAGCTTAGGTTCCTTTGGAACAGTGAGTTTAGATCTTCTGTTGGAGTTAACTTGAGCCACTTTAGCTTCCAGTTTTTCACTTTTGGTGTCTTGGTTTTGCAACTTAGAGACTAAGATTGGAGATAAGTTATCACCAAACTTTGCTAATGACCTCTGACATCTGAAACACCAAAAAACATTTGTTGAATCCAAAAAAAAAAAAAAAAAAACTTCCTCATAGATGTACCTTGTCAAAAGTTGAACAGAGTAAACGTCTAATGGTTTGTTCTGCCTTGCAAGTAAAGAAACCGTTGGTCTTGTTAAAGTTGAGCTACTACTTGATTTGGTTTTTGATTTGGATTTTTTCTTGGAGACATCTTTAACCGTTTGGTTATAATATATGAACCCTAAATAAACAAGCAAACTTAGGTCTCAGACTACATTCATGCAGAAACCAAGATATATAAATATCATCATTACCATTGTATTTATCTTTTGGATTAAGACCGGTATCCACAGGCTTAGTTTCTAGGTTGGTGTTTGTAATCTGCTCAAGTGGCTCAAGTTTCATGTTAAACTTTGGGTTAAAAGCTGAAATAATCAGACAAGAAAAAGCATAATAATATTACATAACGGTAGGAGAAAAGACAAAAAAAAAAAAAAAGCTTGTAATAAACAAAATCTCTGCCCTAATTTTGCGTGTGTCTTACGCGAAGGAGGATAGTTTCCCGCGGATTCGAACCAGAACTCGATTTCTTCGGTCTCCGAATCAATCTCTTGTCTGGAGAAATCGTGGAAACGAGGTGCATCGAATTCAAAATCAATATCGAACTCCTCCAACGAAAAATCTTCTCCAGATAAACACGGAACCATGATTAAACCGGAAAAGAATTGATTGGTAGAGTTTCACATTCGGCCAAATTGTTGGGATTCATCACAGATTGTCTTGAGCTAGCTTTTGGGTGTGAGTTAGGCCCATCAAGAAACTTAACATGGTATCAGAGCCGGCCCACACCCTGACCCATTAATCCGGCCCGGAAAGTGGCCCGATCAACCCATTAGCTGATGGCCCAGAGAAGGTTCAGTTCTATCGAGATTGCTAGAAGAAAAAAAAAGCATTGTCTCGGTAGGGGTATGATGGATTGTGCGAGATTAATGGTTATACGCACCATTATCTCGAGGGAGGGTGTTGGGATTAAAGATCCCACATCGGAAATATGAATGGGACATGAGTAATATATAAGGGACTTGGATCAATCCACTAATTGCCAATTGGTTTTAAGTTGGAAGCCCAAGAAACTTATCACAAATTACAAAAAATAATCGGAGATGATCTTCTCCTCTCTCCCTCTCTCTGGAAAAGAATCTCCAGAGAATTAGGGAAGAGAGAGAGAGAGAGAGAGAGAGAGAGAGAGACAAGGATTGGAGATGGAGAGGAGAGATAAAAGAAGAAGGTAACGGCCAACGGCTTCAGTTGGCGCGGATTCTCTCTACAGCTCACAGATTGTTTTTTTTTTCTTTCTGTATTTTCAGTTTGGTTCTATAGTTCTTAAGTTATACAAATTGACCCAATATGTTTTAATAAATCGAATGTAACACCAACTGATGTTTCCTATCCAAAGTATTTTTCATTCATTATGAAGTTAAATTTTAAACGAAGAAAGATATTTTCGTAAAGAAGAAGTGTTGCATTCGTGAAAAGAAAATGGAAAGTTGATATAAGGGTGAAAATTAAAAATTAAAAAGATAAAGGGAAAGAAACACAAATATACAAAAGTAGCGTTCTCTCCAACGATCTTCGGTTGTCTTTAGGATTCTCTCAATTGCATTTAAACACCGTCTCCGATATTTTTGCTACACGTTTAATCAAGGTAAAGTCTCATCCATTTTCCTGGTAAGTTTCTATAGAAATCTCTGAAAATTAAGGTTTCCCATTTTTAGAACATGGAAATGATTCTTGCACTAACATTTGCTAATTCATTTTGACATAAATGAAAACTTCCAGAATTTGTTATCTTCATATGATTTGTTTGTAATATATATTTTTTTGCAGAGTTTGGAGACAATAATGTCCAAAACTCAAATCGAAACATTTTGTGCATCTCTTCTGCAAGAACTTGAGGTTTGTTGTTGCTTCAGCCACAAGAAAACGAGTGCTTACTTCTTTTTAAAAATATCAAACCGTTTCAGTGATGTGATTCTGTTTCTAATACAGATTCTATGGGACGAGGTAGGAGGAACTGAAACCGAAAGAGAGAAGATTTTGATTGAGATTGAAGACGAATGCAGAAACATCTATATTAGTAAAATAGAAAAGGTTAAAGAAGAGAGGACTCGGATAAAACAAGACATTGCTGACACAGAAGCAAGAGTTATTGCTATATGTTCTGTAATGGAAGAGCCATCAGGTCTTGGAAGACAACATCAATCTGATCAAAGTGGAAGAAGTTTAAAAGAAAAGTTAGGAAAGATTCTTCTGAAACTTGAAGATATGGAAAAGAGAAAATCAGAGAGAAAGAATCAGTTTATTCAAGTGATTGAAGATATAAAATGTGTAAGAGATGAGATTGATGGTGAATCTTATGAGACTTGTTCATCTGATTTTTCGGTTGATGAATCTGATTTATCTCTTAGAAAGCTTGAGGAGTTACATAGAGAGCTTTACACACTTCAAGAACTTAAGGTTTCCTAAACTTAACAAATTACTTTTAAATTATAATGTAATTTCTTGATCAAAAGGTTAAATACTTTGCGGTGTTTTTTTTTTTTGGCTCAGAGGAACCGGATGAAACAGATTCAAGATCATCTAAAAACTCTGGAGTCGCTTTGTTCGGTTCTTGGTTTGAATTTTAGAGAAAATGTTACCAAGATTCACCCAAGTTTAGTAGAATCTGAAGGTTCAAGAAGTATTAGTAATGAGACACTTAACAAGTTAGCTTCATCAGTAAATCATTGGCATGAGACAAAGATACAGAGAATGCACGAAGTCAGTTTAATGTATCCAAACTGTTTTAGAATCTTAAAGACTATTTACTTTGTTCTTATATATAATCCCTTTTCTTGATTGCAGCTTCAAGATCTTGTGACGACAATGCTTGAGTTTTGGAACTTAATGGATACACCAGCAGAAGAACAACAAAAATTCATAAATGTTTCATGTAATATAGCTGCTACTGTTTCAGAAATAACCAAACCCAATAGTCTTTCCACAGATTTGCTCGAAGAGGTACCTTCACATCAGCTTTAACTATTTTGTAATCTTTCTAATTTTTTTTTTCTGATTCATTTTTAATGCTTAAAAGGTTAAAGCCGAGCTATGTCGGTTAGAGGAGTTAAAATGGAGCAAAATGAAAGAACTTGTTTTAAAGAAGAGGTCAGAACTTGAAGAGATATGTAGAAGAACACACATTGTTCTTGAGCAAGATATCAAAGTGGAGAATGTAGTTAAAGACATCGAATCGGGAGATGTGAACCCTGAAAATATACTGGAACATATCGAGTACCGAGCTGGGAAGGTGAAAGAGGAAGCTTTAAGCAGAAAAGAGATTCTTGAAAAAACTGAGAGGTGGTTGAATGCTTGTGAGGAAGAGACTTGGCTTGAAGAGTATAATCAGGTTTGTCTTTTTTATAAAGATCCAGTTCTTAAATTTTGTGGTTAGTTATGAATTTATTCATTTGTATAGGATGAAAACCGATACAAAGCTGGAAGAGGATCTCATTTAATTCTCAAACGAGCAGAGAAAGCTAGAGCACTCACTAATAAACTTCCAGGTTTCATATAGATGATCCTAAGAAAGTTTTCAGATTGTTATCTTTGTGAATTTTTAACTTAAAACTTCTTGATTTTTCATAGCTATGGTTGAAGCATTAGTTTCCAAGATTACTATTTGGGAATTAGAGAAAGAGGCTGAGTTTCTTTTTGATGGTGTATGAGTTATCTTCTTATGTTACACAAATTTCTTTCTTAGCATATGTAATTGATCTTTTAATCTGATTTTCTTCATTCAGAACCGTCTGCTTTCAATGCTAGACGAATATACAGAACTCAAAGAAGAGAAAGAGCAAGAACGTCGTAGGAGAAGAGTATTTAGCTAACACTCTTTTGCATCATTTTCTGTCAAAAATACCAAACAAAACTTGTTATATTTTGGTTGTTTATAGGATTTTAAGAAACTTCAAGGTCAATTAACACCAGAACAAGACAAAGGAACTCCTACTAAGTATCAAAGCGCGAAAAAGAGTCTTACAATATCAACTAACAAGAGATTTGGATCATCCTCTCAAACTCCTCGCACTGAATCACCCCACTCAGCAAAATCTTTTACATCTCAATCACGTCATAGCTGACTTTAAAGTAGTCCTTTTTAGTTCACTTTTATCCAACTGGTAATTGATTATTTCTAAACAAAAAGAATGTAAATGTTCTTCTTTCAGTGATGTTTAAGTTGATTTGCTGGACACAAAGACACCTTAGCTATGTTCTTATAACACCTTATAAACAAAATAGATTAGAAAGAAGCATGCTCTGAGATTTATGAGCCTGTGTATATGTTTAGGTTAATCTTAATACTCTTTTGATCATTTATATAGGATATCTTTTTAAAATTTGGGGTAAGACCTACTATGCCCAAAACCTGTCCTGTAAGGAGAGACTTGTCTAGAAACTAATTCATCACTTTTATTAAACCTTTTGGTATGCTTAAAAACTAGCTAACTCATTAAGAAAGACTCAAAATGAAAGGAATGTTAATGATTACTAGATCATTTGTATTATGTCATGTCTCAGATCCAAATGTATATATATGTTGTGTTCGGAATAAGATTTTGATTTCAACCGACACAATGTACTTGCTGCAAAAATCAATGTGGATTATTTTCATTGATACCTCTAAGCTTTGATCTATTCACGAGTTATTGGTGTTACTAAATTGATGAATTCCATCAATAAACTTTGCATGAGTGAATCTATAAAGATTTAGCTTATCATGAAAATTGATTGGTTTAAATATATTTTCAAAACGATTCAGATTTAGTTTATCTTGAAAATTAATTGGTCTTAGTAGATTTTCAAAATAATTTATTTGGTCAACGTTATTACAAAGTGATTAACTGGAAAAGAACAAAAGATATTGTCACAAGCTAGTATTTTTAATTCTTCACTATTTGTTTTTGCAGTTTGTTTTATTTAATTAGCATATTATTTTTTCAAGACGAACATGGATCTTTCCCAAAACCAGAATTAACAGTTTGTATCTTCTATTTTTCTTTATTAATCAGATCCAAAAATCTTCTATTTGTCTTTATTAAACTTGAAGATGTTTATGACTTTTCTAGCTTAAAATCTGTAACTTCAAACTAATGGATCTGTTTCTTGAAGATGTTGAATTTTGTTTCCAAATGATATTTCTAAGCTTTGATCTTCTATATATGTATTTGGTGTAACTATAGATCATGAACTCATCTATAAACTTTGCATGAGTGAAACTATAAAGATTTAATTTCTCTTCAAAATTAATTGGCTTTAGTGAATTTTCTGTGCAGAGGACTTTTGAGTTGAATTTCCCGTAAAATTAAAAATCTCTAAGTTAAATATTAATATTATATATATTTTGAGAACTCGGGAGTTAGAACCCTCATTGAGAATGAGCTTAGTATATTTTTTAAAGTAATTTTCTTTGGTCAACATTACTACAAACGATCAATGGGAAATTTTTTTGTCAGAAGCTGGTATTTTAATTCTTCACTTTAATATATATTTACAGTTTTTACTAATTAGTATATTAATTTTTGATTACATACCTGGATCTTTATGTAAACCAAAATTAATAGTTTGATTTTTTTGGAATTATTATATGGACATTAAACTAATTAAATCCTTAATATTCTTTTTAACCACCTAAATCCTTAATATTCATATCAGATAATACAACTGTCAACATGCTAATGTATAGTATATTTATTTTTCATGCCAAACTCCAATTTATTTATTTACTTCCTTTTTTCTTTGCAAAAATTCAGTCTCATGTTATTATTTTTTTCTCTTGTGAAAATTTGGAGAATATTGCATGTACTTTTTGGGTGATTTTTTACTTCGAACTCCTTGTGAGATTGAGAGGTTCATTGCCACTGAGAATCATTTTCTCAAATTTTTGTTTAATTTAGCATTCACAGCAGATATTTTAGAGAATTTACGGCTTAAAAATGGGGGAGAAAGGTGGAATTATTCCAAGTAACCTCATCGTTTAAACTCTTAAAAGGGATTCTAAGAGTTTGACACCATTTGACTGGTGACTAAAGGAATGTGTGAGAATAGTTAATTACTCTTTATTCTTTAAATTTGACATCATTTATAAGGAATCATAATAGTTAATTCCTCTTCATTCCTTAAATTTGACACCATTTATAAGGAATAGCTTTTCTTCAATATTCCTTCTCATTCCTTTTAATTTAAGGAATCAAAGAACAAAACTATTCCTTATCAAATCCGGGGAGGAACAATATAGAACAAGTGTTCCTATTATTTTTTTCCTCTTCATTCCTTTCCTCGTTATTCATATTATTCCTTTGGTGGTCACCAGTCAAAGCCGTGAATACTAAGATTCATATCTTTTGTTTTTGGTCTATCTGTTATATTAACAGTGGCCCAACTGATGAGGTTTTAATAATCTGAAGACCCAAAAATTTTGGAATCTATGAGGGTCCATCTAATGGCCCAAACATTTTAGAATTATTTTTTCTTAAATTCTGATTCTAATGTTTTATTTTCTATAATTATATTAAAAATTCTAATAATATTCCCTAAAATTATAAGAATTTTTTTTGTATAAGAAGTTAAGAACGTTCAAAATTATTTCTAAAAAGTCTATACTATTATTTGCGAAGTGATTTTTCGCAACGAAGCTCTCACGTTAAAAGTTAGAGTGGTTAATATCGATTATACCCTTAATGAAACTTTTATATATAACTAATTTGATAATTAAAAACGAAATTTAAAAAATAAAATTAGATTAGTATGTTATTATCTTAGATAACTGAGAATAATTAATATAATAAGTTTTTTAAAAAATCAAAAAAAAGATAATTCTTATATATGTTAGGAGTGGTTAATATCGATTATATCCTTAATGAAACTTTATATATAATTAATTTGATAATTAAAAACGAAATTTAGAAAATAAAATTAGATTAGTATGTTATTATCTTAGATAACTGAGAATAATTAATATAATAAGTTTTTTAAAAAATCAAAAATAAGATAATTCTTATATATGTTAGGAGTGGTTAATATCGATTATACCCTTAATGAAACTTTTATATATAACTAATTTGATAATTAAAAACGAAATTTAAAAAATAAAATTAGATTAGTATGTTATTATCTTAGATAACTGAGAATAATTAATATAATAAGTTTTTTAAAAAATCAAAAATAAGATAATTCTTTTATATGTTATTATCATCTGAATATATAATAC